GTCTGTTGAGATTTTAATTGGAATTGTAACTAAATCTATAGATCAGTTTGGGGAAGAATTCATATCTTTAAATGTTAAATCTTCAAGTCCATGAACATAGCATATCTCCATTTCTCTAGGTCCTTTTTAACAACATTCAATAAAGTTTTATGATTTTCTTGCATATATTTTGTTAGATTCACTCCTGGGTAATTTTTTTAACATACAAATTTGGATGCTACCACAAATGTCCTAGGTGTTAACCTTCTTTGCTTTCATTTGTGAACTGGTATTTAGAAATCAGTTACTTTGTAATTGTATTATTCCAAGGCTGCTGTAACAAGTTGCCACAAACTTAGTGGTATAAAACAACAGAAATTTATTATCTCACTGTTCTGTAGTTCAGAAGTCCAAAATCGGTTCCACTGGGCTTAAAATCGAGATGTTGGAAGGGTTTTGCTGCTTTCTGGAGGCTCTAGGGGAGAATCTGTGTCCTTGCCCTTTCCAGTTTCTAGAGCTGCCCACATGCCTTGGCTTGTAGCCCCCCTTCACCATCTTCAAAGCCAGCAACAACAGGTTGACTGACTTATGACACAATTTTTCAGTTTTAAGGACTCTTGTGATTACATTTGGCTCACCCAGATAATCTAGAATAATTTGATCATCTTAATTTAATCACATCTACAAAGTCATTTTTGACTTGTAAGGCAAAAATTCACAGGTTTCAGGGATTAAGATCTGGACATCTTTGTAGGGGAGATGGACTTCATTCTGCCTACAATGGTAATACTGATTTTGAATCCTACAATCTTGCTAAGCTGTCTTATACATTCTTATCATTTATCTATAAATTCTTTTAGGCTTTCTGCATATACAATCAAATCATTTGCAAATAATGAGTTTTGTTTTGTCCTTTACAATGAGTGTGTGTGTGTGTGTGTGTGTGTGTATTTTTCCTACCTTTAATGCCAAGGTAAAACAAAAAGAATGGCTGGGGAAAAAATTTAAAAAACCAAAAATACTGACTGGGACTTCTAATGTAATGTAAAATTTGAGTGATTATGTCAGGCAATCCTGTTTTGTTTCAGATCTCTAATGGAATACTTTCAGCATTTCACCATTAAGCAGAATATTTGATGTAGGCTTTTTTCTCCTGAAATTGAGATGATCATATGATTTTTCTCCTCTAATCTGTTAATCACATTAATTACATTAATTGATTTTCTAATGTTAAACCAACCTCCCTTTCTGAGAAAAACCAGACTTGGTCACTGCATTTTAGTAGTTATCCTAATGAGTGATTATGGGCCTTTTATTTTCCTTTCTTGTATGCATTATCCTAATTAGGTTATTGTAGTTAGGTTATAACAGCCTCATAAAATTAGTCATGGAGGGTACCTACTTTTTCTGTTCTCTGAAGTAGTTTGTGTAAGATTGGAATTATTGGTTACTGCATTGGTTTTAATAAAACTGCTGAGTTTCTAAACCTAAGCTACATTGTGAAGCTTTGTACATTCTTCAACATGTCTGTGTCAAGTGCTTTAATATATAATTACTCAATCCAGGGAGATTTGAGGTATTATCTCTCTCTCTTTTTTTCTGATAGGGAAACTGAAGCTAAACAGGTTACATATATGCCTAAAGATCATATAGTTACTAATTGGCCTACCAGAACTTGAATTGAGACTTCTTGGCTCTGAATCCATTGTTCAACACTACATTCTCATTGATACTCTCCAGAAGTATTGATATCTTGGCTGCCATGAGTTTACATTTTTTCAAAAAATTTTTTATGGTGTCTCTATCTCTTCCTTTGATGGTATTTCTTGCCATCACTTTTCTCCTTTCTTTCTATTTGCCCCACGATTTCCTTATTTCTTATATGCTGTGCTCCCAGAGGCAAAAATAGGTTACTCTTTTGTAACAGTAGATAGCCTCTGAGCCTCTGAGGGACATTCTTAGAAGTAAGGAGCATGAGCTTTGTGACATCCATTTCAAACAGGCTCAGAAGATTTTATTATTCTTTTTGTTTCTCTTAGGTTGCTAGACTGTTAATTATCTTTATATGTCCTACACTTTGCTACTCAAAGTGTAGTCTGTGGACCAGCAGAAATGGCATCTCCTTGGAGCCTGTTAGTGGCAAAGCAGGTCCCATCCCAGAACCAATAAATCAGAAGCTGCATTTAGCAATCTTGCTAGGTGATTCCTGTGGACATTAAAGTTTGAGAAACATTGGCCTACATCACCAATTAGACTATAAAATCTTTGAGAACTCCTTATACCTTTTCCTATCCCCAGTTCCAAGCACCATGCCTCACGTGGAAACACACACTCATGAAATGAAGTCTGTGGTGATGATTTTATAAAACACATGGCAAATCAGAATCCTCAGTTCTGGTTTTGACTGTGTCAGGAACTCCATCTATTGTTTAATTTCAACAGCCTTCAGTTTCTCGTCTATAAAATGAAGGAGTATAATTACATTTTTTTCTAATGACCCTCCGAATTCCAATGCTACACCATGACTGATAAATCTCTCAGTTAAACTAATAAATGCTAACAATTGAGATTGTCCTGAGGTATTTCCTTTGCAAAAATTCAACACAAATTACACAATGGTGTTGAATGAAATATGTAATATGTGAAAAAGTATCACTTGCATCCAAATAGGTTGTTATTGTTAAGATCTCCGTTGGAAAAGATGGCTTTTGTTTGATTAGATGCCTTTTTTCAAGCAGTAAAGCAGTGTAATAATAGGGGCCAACATTTTGTGTTTCTAAAGTTCAGGTTCAGTAGTCTGGTATAATGGCCAACTGAAAATTGCAGTGTGGGAAAACATAGGAGGTGATGCTTTGATTTCATGAACATTGTGTAGGATTATCAAACCAAAATTGACATATTCTACCTTAGCTGCCTAGAATTTCAAATTTTTCTAGCAATTCTGTTTTCATTCTCACCTTCAAGATATTAGAGGTAGAGACAGGGTAGAGAGAGCAGAGTTAAAAAAAGATTGCCCCAGTTCAGAGTGTATCTGGCTGACCTACAAAATGAGACATTTCATGATTTGATCTGCTGTTCTATCACTGGAACCCCTCTTCCCCATCTTCTTGGAGAAGAATTTGTATTTGGATGTTATTGTTGTAACTGTATCATAATCATCATCGTGGAAACCATTGTTGACAGCCCACAAAAGAATGAACTTTTACTCATGATTGCCACTTACAGTTTTGATTCCTTCGCCCTTAACATCTACTTGTTTGGCAATTCTGTTCCCTAAATTAGACATTTGGTATACTTGGTCAGCCTTGAAACTTCAAAGACAACAAGCTGTCCAGCCATCTGCATGACTGTCATTGAAGTCCCTTGTGTTCTCACAGATTGCAGCTTGTCTATTCTGAAAGATGAGCTACAAATCTATTCTGAGCCTGAGCAAAATATCTGACCAGTCTCAGAGCAAACCTGACAGTTACTCATAAGTCTAGCAGTGCCCATGCAAAACACCAAACACTGTACTTACAAAAGTAAGGCTAGTGGCAAATGGTATCTTCCATACCATTTTGGAGAAGCACTATTGTTTCTTTCTTTCTTCTTCTTCTTAGCCTATTTTGTGCTTAACTTATGGGGATAAGACAAAAAATGCCTTGCAAACATCTTTCTTTGGCATTGCCAAATTCAGCCTATTACATGCATGTATTGTGTTTGGGAGTCGTTGCTTTGTTCTGTTTATTTTAGATAGGTAGGAAGAGGGCGTAGACTAAGGATCTGTAGAGCTTACTGCAGAAGGCATTTTATTTTCCTATAGAGGGAAAAGTACACCCATCTCATAAATACGAAGTATTTCAAGTTGAAACGAGAAGCAAATTCTATTCCTGCTTTCCATATTAATTAGCTAGGTAACCCTGGGCAAGTCAACCTCTAAATTTCATCTGCAAATTGAAAGCTTTGGTCTACACACAGCCATTTAAATTCCTCCTTCAATTGTTCATTCAGTCCCTATCTATTCAGTACCTACTATGCACCATCAACAACACTGATTCTTGGAGAGCTCAAAATTGTGTCTCCACGCCTTTAAGCAATTCACTCCTCGGCCTCCTTTAAAACCGGAAATCTTCCCCAAATAGATTGAAACACTTTTTCTGTCTGAAAATATACACGGGGAAAAGAAACGTGTCGGTTGCCATCAACCTAGAGCGGACGTACCCGCAGGCTAGTAGCTGTTCTTTCTTTGGAAAGGGCACGCTCTGCATGGTAAAGGGCTACCCAGTCACTCGGAGAAATACAATTTCAAGGGCGCCTGGGGTCAGAGTGGGATACCCAGCCGCTCCTTCCTCGGCGGAGGCAACCTGGGAAACATTTCTGGGCTCCGTCCGAGTCACGCGGCAATTCCACGGCAGGAATTGTGCAATGGGGCGAGTCGGGCGGGCGGCCGGGGTGGAAAGAAGCGGGGGAGGCTGCCACAGTGCCAACTTTTTTTTCCTCCCTAGGGAACCGTAAGGCGCGACAGCGCGGCCAGGACGGCGGGGATCCGGACGGCCCCAAGGCCAGGCCAAGACAGCCTCGCTTCGCTGCAGAGGCGGCGAGTAGAGAAGCGCGTGGGGGCCGTCCCCGCTCGGCGCCAGAGACCGCCCCCGCGCGCTGCCCTGGACTCCGCCGGGGGCCGCGGGCCGAGGGGGCGGGAGCGAGAGCGGGAACGGCGACCCCGGGCGCGGGGTTGGGGGTTGGGGGGGCGAGGCGGACCGCAGACTAGCCACGGCGACCGCGGCGGGGAAATCCGGGCCCGTACTTTCGGTTAGAACACCCGGGCTTCCAGCGGCGCCGCGCCCCC